ATACCAGCCATCATCAGCAGCTTCTTGGGTACAGGAGCTGAGACAATGCCAGTGCCCCTGGGGGCGGGGATGAGGCGCACCAGCACAGAGCCACAGCGGCCGGTCACCTGTTAAGGGTCGAAGGGTTGAGGAATCAGACTGGGGCTGGACAATGTCTGCTACTGCAGACCCCATCAATCACCACCGCCCAGCCTACCTTGCAAGGGACAGTGTGGGGCTTGCCGATCTTGTTCCCCCAGTAGCCTCGCCGCACAGGGACGATGGAGAGCTTGGCCAGGATGATGGCCCCGCGGATGGCAGTGGCTACCTCCTTGGAGCACTTAACACCCAGACCCACGTGTCCATTGTAGTCCCCAATGGCGACAAATGCCTGTGAAGAGACTTGAAGTGGCTGGTGGTCCCTGGCCTGCATAGCATCCAAAACCACCACCCAAGGCCTGTCGTCCCCCTCAAGGAAAGAATGGCCACCGTGAGGCCAATCTGAGGTCCTGAGGAGATCCTTTCTCTCTCTCCCCATTACGAAAGTCACACGTATGAAAACAGGTGTAACTGTGCAGAGCTGGGAGAGTCTCAATAAAAGCCCATGGCAGAAAACACAAGATGGCTGGGATACCTTGAACCGGGTCCTCTGGCCAGCACGGGTCTGCTTTTGCACCGGCATTATTTTCAAAACTTCATCCTTCAGGGATGCCCCCAGGAAAAAATCAATGATCTCAGATTCCTGCAAGAGACAAGATTTATGACAAAAATGTTTAAACCAGATGCCATCTATGAACACCCATCACTGGAAGCCTTGACCTGGCTCTCGAGCAGAACTGGTATTCCAATTGTCCGGACTCTTTCCAAGTCGATTACCAACGTCAGACATGGGACAACTATGCACTCGCACCTGACAAGCATGGAGCGACCCCAGACCAAATGAGACTCCCTGTGGCTGCACGTGCCCAAAGCCCCAACAAGGAAAAGGGGCCGCCGCGTTACCTTGATGGGCAGGGAGAAGAGATAGATCTCCTCTAGGGATTTGATCTTCATGTCCTTGACCAGGCGGCCCAGCTTGGTGACGGGGATCCACTAGAACGGAGAAAATGCACAGACGACGAGGGTTTATTGCCCGCTGCGCCCATGGGCCCGCCTCGCGCGCAGGGCCCGGACCTACCTCTTTGTCCTCGGCTTTGCCTCCGCGAGCTCCGCGGCCTCGACCCCGGCCGCGACCCCGACCACGACCTCGGCCCCGGATGCCGCTGCCGAATCCTCCACGGAAGCCGCCGCGGCTTCCCACTCCAGGGCCCCCGGGGCCTCCGGGCCCTCCAGCAGCACCGGCGTCATCCGCCATTTGCTGAAGAGAACGACAAAAACCAGCCAGTCAGCGAGATCCTGGCATCCGCGGCCACCCAGGCAGCGGCTCCCCACAGAGACTGGGGGCACGCCAGCCCACGTCCAGCCCGATGTCCGCGGATCCCCCTCAACGAACAAATTTACTCACGTGTTGTATTGAAGAAGAACAAGGAAGGTCGGTAAGGAGCTTTTATATGTCGCCAAGTCCCGCGAGATCTAGATTGCACCACCCCTACCGCGAGTGCGCCAAAGGCCTATAAAATAGGCTGTGATTGGCTTTGCAAGGCCCCGCCCCCGCCGAGCTCTGCGTGTGCCTTCGCGTCTGAGCGCTTGCGTCCCGGGAATCTGCGTGACGGCGGAGGTGCTATAAATACTGGTCCCTCCACCCCTGAGTTCTCTCCAAATGCAGGTAGGTTCGTCCGTCCTGTGATTCTTGCTCTATGTGTCGCTGGGTGGTGGTCGCGAGATCGGCGTTGGTTGAAAATCACTTGCGGCTTTGGTTGTAGCCGTGGGTGAGATTCGGCGCCCAGAGCCTCCCGGGGCCTTAGCTCACCTCCCACTTCGCAGTGTGGGGAGGTGAAACCCAGGTCCCCACACGCGCCGCCGCGCCGCCCTGGTGCTGCCGCTCGCATTCTCTGGTCTCTGATCCTTGACTCCGTTTTCTGCCCGTAGGACGCCCAGATGCCCCAAGCTTGAGGCCGACGCCGCCTGGACCGTGGGGGTAGGGTGGCTTTGGTTCTCCTCATCTTTCAATAAAGCTATTGGTTTTACTAATCTGCGTGGGGGCGTTCTTGGTCACCTTCCCGTCAGCCTGGAAAATGCATCTGTTGACGCTAGGACCAATGTGTGCTGTGAGGGGGACAACTCTACATGCCAGCCAGCCCAACTCTGCTTTGGATAGTACCACACAGGCAGAACTTGGCGTCTTGAAAGTCAGTGGTGGGTGGCTCCTAAGGTCCCACACCCCGTACTTTTCCACATCAGCAAATAAAGTACCTTGAGCTGTATCTGCAAACCACTAGCAAGAATGGGAGTGTAAGATTAACAGTTCAAAGNCCCCGGCCCCATCCTAGACACCCGGCCGCGCCCCGGGCTTCGCCACCCTGACTATCCCCCGCCGCAACCCGGGGCCCCGACCCGGAGACCTGCGGGCTCCGTCGCCTTCTTGGAGCTCTCACTGCACCCCAGATCTCGCCTCCAGGGGACGCCCCCCTCCTACACCAGGACCCCTCAGTGCTGTCCGGCCCCCGCAACTTAATGGGACCCTCCACGCAACCCTAGTCTCCCACCTCCCCTAAATATGAGAGGTTATTTGAGGATTGCAATTATCTGTGTCCTGGGGCTTGTTAGACCCATTTCCCTGCACGCTTTGCATCCTGGGTTGTGCACAGTAGGAGATCAGCAAATGAAATTGAAGGGGTTCTCCGCCAACCCTTTGCACGCTTGCAAAATGACAGGTGGTCAGGTAATGGCTGAGGTCCCCTGAACCTAGACGTGCTGTGACTTGTCTTCCATGTGTGCCTAAGCTTGAAAGCTGCCCAAATTCCCCCATCGTTGGTCCATACCTGGGGAATGATTTAAAACAGTTGTTTCCCAGTTTGTGCTTCAGCCAGCCCAGTGGGGCAGCAGCAAGAGTAGGCTCTAACCTCAGTCACTAGTGCCAGGTAATTGAGTCATCCATGCGTTTAACTCATTCATTCAACAAAACATTTGGGGTGCTCCAGTGGCCCTTGTTAGGATAGTCAGCAAACCAGACCCCAAAGCCTGGAAAAGGCACTGCAGTGGACCAACTCCCTTTTTAGTAGCATTTCTTAGAAAAGTGCTTTATACATCGCAATGTGTGAGATCTCACTAGGTCCAATTTGTTCATTTACCAGTGGGGAAGTTGAGGCCAGGTCAGTGGTGGCAGAACTGCAACTAGAATCTCTCCTGTTGGGTCCCCTATTGGAGCCTCTGCACAGTGGAGTCCCTGTGCTGGGGGGTTGGGGGGTGGAGTCACTGACCAGCAGGGTGTGGGCTTACAGAGCCTGAATTCTGAATCCTGCCTTCTGGGCCTCAGTCTGCAAATGAGAACGGCCTCGCTGGCAGGAAGCTTCCCATAAACCTAGACATCACAATTTGTAGCCCAGTCCTTCTTAGGACTATTTATGTGCTAGCCCACGCTTGCTTATTGAGTCTAGTTGTCAGTCTTTGTAAAAGCTGTTGAAATATTGGGAAATCTATCCTTCATGGCTTATGGAAATAAAGCTAAGAGCCCATCCAAACTGTGACGTGTCCAAGTCAATGGGGTTTTCTCTTTGCAGAGTTTATAGAGCAGCAGCATGCGAAGAACAGGTATTACTACTACCACCGTGAGTTCCGCCGTGTGCCGGACATCACCGAGTGCGAGGAAAAGGACATTTTGTGCATGTTTGAAGCAGAAATGCAATGGAGAAGAGACTAGTATGTCCTGTCCATCCTGCTGGGCCTTCATTTTCTGGGGATGCCATGGGATGGTTGTCCATCAGCAAGAATGCTTCCTGGGGCTGGCCCAGATCTTGGGGGTAGAGGGACCAGACCACAGGACTCCCAAGATCCTGCTTTTGGTTCTACTCTCCCTGGATACAGGGCAAGGATTCCTTGTACCCCACCTTGTTCCCTTTTCTTTTAGCAAAGTTGACCAAGAAATCGTCAACATCATCCAGGAAAGACTTAAGGCTTGTCAGCAGAGGGAAGGTGAAAGCCACAGGCAGAACTGTGCCAAGGAGCTGGAGCAGTTCACCCAGGTGGCCAAGGCCTATCAGGACCGCTGTGAGTGAGCCCCACCCATGCCTGTCCCCGGGGTCCCCCTGCTTGTTACCTGACTCAACTCTATCCAGTCTCCATTCTGCTCTGGCCTGGAAGTTTTGCTGAAACTCTCAAATCTTAAGAGCTTGTGATTGAAACATCACTGCCCAAAGCCTCATTAATGTAAGGTTAGCATTATGGGGTGTAATTGAGATATATTACTGTATCTCAGGTCCCCTTTCTGCTGTCTTCACTGCCTGAGTTTCCCCCCTGCCCTATTCCCATCATGGAGGAAGTGGCCCATGACTCCCCTCCTGCCCCATCTCTTTTCTCAGATCATGACCTGGGGGCCCATTATTCTGCAAGGAAGTGCCTGGCTAAACAGAAGCAGAGGATGCTGGCAGAGAGAAAAGCTGCTAAAGAGGCCGCTGCTGCCTGAGGCAGCTCCTTGAGCCCCCTCCCATGACGGTCGCTAATTACTAAAATAAAGAGTAATAAAACATGTCTGTTTCTGGTGCCGCCTTGATTCTTCATCTGATTGGCCCCATCTACCTTCCAATTTTAGCTACGCTAGACTTGAGAGCGAAATAAACAGGAGCTGACTTGTAACAGGCTTGCTTCACTTTATTTTTCTTGTATAAAATTATGTGGTGGCCACAGCTGGAGCCTGGGTCCTCTGCACAGAAACTCTGGTATGGGTCTTTACAAGATGGTCGGTGAATTCCT